GTGTGTGTGTGTGTGTGTGTGTGTGTGTGTACACACGTGCACGTGAGCAGAGTACTGCATATATATCCACATATGAAGTCAGCCTATTAGTGCAAAGATCAAAGACCTTACATTGCTGAGGGCACTGTTCTACCCATTTTACAGATGGTGAAACTGATGCCCAGAGAACTGGCAGGTCAAAATCAGCAGGTGCTGTGCCTACCCCATGCATCTGCCAATGCAGGTTCCAGTGGGCACTGAAAACCCCTGGGCCCTTCTGAAAATGTTACGGCATGTGTGAGCTTCTGTTTCGGTGGTGACAGGCTGTGTTGCATGTTAGATGAGAGTGTGGTCCAATGGTTAGAGCCCCTGCCTAAGTCTCAAGAGATTCCCTGCTCTGCTGTGGGCCCTCTGCCTGACCCTGAGCGCACCTTTTTCTGGATGCAGCCCTGAGGCGCTCTGTGCCTCAGTTTCCCAGTGTAAAATGGGAGCGCCAGCACCTCCTGACTTCATGGGGGTGTTGGAAGGCTACATATGTGGGAAGCCTGTGAGATGCTCAGTACCACAGCGATGGGTGCTGGATGGATACTGTAGCCGGATAGTTTGCAGGGCTTTGTTGGTGCATCAGGCTGTTTTGGAGCAGGGTTCATCTTGTTCTCTCTGCATCTGGCGAGCTGCTTGCTTGTGCTCAGTACAGCTGATCGCAGAGCAGGACTGTCTGCGAGTGACCTTGCATGGGTCAGCAGTCATTCCAGACAACGCTGTGAGAATCCACAATACATGATTTAGCAGCTGCCCAAAGTATTTCTCATTGCAGGCTTCTCTAAAAGAGTCTCTCTGAAAGAGAAGATGCTAATGATGACCTAGTGATCTCCTAGATGGAGCTGGCAAAGTTTCCAGCCTCAATATGGCTGTTCTGGCAGGTTTGTAAGGACCAGTCACTATAATGCTCAGCTGTTGTGAGAGGCAGTTCACTGTCCTCACAGAACTCAGTCAGGTCCTTGGCACACATTGCAGTTATGGCACGATTAACATATGAATCAGGCCATAAATGGCAACAGTGCCACACATTCACCTAATATAAGGCACCATCAAATGGCAAACCAGACACAAAGAAGTTCCACATATAATGTGGAGATGTCAAACGCCTTTGTGGCAGGTTAGGAAGGCACTTTAAACTGAACTTGTCCATCAGAAATTGCATGTGTCCATCAAGAAAAGCAGGAGGGCTGGTCTGGCGGAGCCAGCAGGAAGCCACATGGGAGACGTTTGGGCGGCAGAATGGAGAGCAAAGGAGCTGTCTTTGGGCAAGTTGAAAGTGAGGGGGCAGCCTTTGGGCAGAAGACCCTCAGCAAAGAGAGATGGATTTGAACCGAAAATCCAGAATTGGATTTCCCCTGTATCCCACTGGTTTCCCCAGGCTGATAATTTGGCTGCATAATGGGCCCAGAAAGGGAAAGGCCAGTTGTTGTCATCTCTGTAGCACCCGGCCTGTGGATATTAGGATGCTACAGACCTACAGACACAACCTGGAGTCCACTCCAGGCCTGGCCTTGCCAGGAACAGCTAAGTTACGCTGAGTTTTCTCTACTGATCCTGGTGCTCCATTAAAATCGCACAACCGTAGAAAAGGAAGGGATCTCAGGAGGTCGCATTTAATTGAACTCCCTGCTCAGGCAGGGTAACCCCCGACTGACCCATCCTATACAAGTCCTTGTCTAACCTGCTCTTAAACAAGGAGGCAGACTCCATAACCTCTCTGGGCACCCAGTTTAAATGCTCCCAATATCCTAGGTGCCTGCCAGGAGTTGCTTCCCAACTATATATGCTCGGCAGTAAAACAAAGGATGACAGGAGAACTCACTGGTTGGGAGGGAAGGTAGCGTTCTTAGGAGGGTGCTATTTTTTGCCACCAGTTATATAGCACTACAGGCCTCCTTCTCTACAGGCAACCGTCTGTCCCGAGAAAACATTAAACCTGCTTCCAGAAATTCCCAGAACCTGTTTGCAAGGCCTGCTGAAGAAGAACCCACCTCCGCCGTAGCACTCAGCTTCTGCCAGGAGCCTTCGGTGGCCGCTGACGGCACGTGTCCCTGAAGCTGTAAACATGCATCTCATTTGATCCAGGATTGATTGTCCCGGGATTTGAGCCAGATTAAAATGGATGCAGCACAGACCTGCACATATATCACCGTTTCAAGCTGCCTTGGTGCTCCTTTGCCAGCCAGTGGTGAGTGGGAGCACAAATTGCCCCTGGACTGACCCACGATAACCGTATAGACGAATCCTGGGGAAAGGCGTTTGTGCATTTTTTCCGGCATATTTGAAATGGGATAATGGACATGTACACCTGTACAATCCTGAGCTTTTCCTGGGAAAAATGTGATAGATATGCGTACCCCAAAGGTACAATTTCCCTGGTTGCCTCGGGCAGTCTTTTTTTCATAGATGGGTGTGAGGTCAGTGGTGGAGGGAGGGTATGAAAGCAAAGCATGGTGCGTACACCTCCCGACGGCAAACAGGAGGGGTTAGCTTATCTCTCGCATGCATCCAGTCTCTACATGCACCCCATGAGACGTGCTAGGTCCCTTCCTGAAAAAAAACTGCACATGGCCTTCACGTGAAGAGTAGAAGAGGTTGAACAACACTGATGGCGAATCAGCCTCGTTGTGAATTGTGGACAGAGCTGGCTGAAACACAGACTTTTTCTTCTGTGGGAAGTTTGGGAGAGTTTTGAATACTGCTTGTGTCCTGAATCGGGACCAATAAAACAGTATCGCCAGGATTTTTGCAAAGCAAATTAGTCTGAAATGTTTCAGTTTGACTTCCCTGTTGCTAGAGCACCGTATGATCAGAACAGTGTAAATGAAGCATTTGGATGTTATTGAAACAGACTATTTGGTAATTTCCTGTTGGTTTTCTTTTTCTTTTTTAATTACATTGGCATATTCCTGTAAAACATTTTGCTTTCGGCAAATAAGCATTTTCCAATGGGAAACTGTTCCACTGGAAATGTTTTGACCAACTCTGTTTGGTCCACCTGCATACACTGACTAATACGGCTCTTATTGCGAAAAGCCTCGAAGCCTCTGATCTCATCTTGATTTCTGCGGATGATGCCTATGGATAACTCTCATCCTCTGCCTTTAATATTCATGGCATGTGACTCATCACCTGATATCATTTTCTCTTTCTGGCTGAGCGGCCGAAATATATGTATTTGAGAAGAAGACATGACTAAGAGGACATAATAATAGTGCATTTCTGGGTCTGAGCTCTCAGTCGCATCATCTTTCATGCTAAAATCTGCATGGTTTCAGGTGTTCACGAACTGTTATTTTTATATCTGTGCGTGTCCAACTTGTATGAATAAGACTATCCCTGGCCTATCTATCTTGGGTCCAAAGGCAGCAAACTTGACTCCTAGTTGCCCCTAACCATAGAAGCACAGCCAGCTGTTGATAGACGCGGATACATAAAAGTAACATATAGCTATAGTTATAATATTTTTAAGTAGAGCTTTCCTACTAGGTCTGTATGACATGCCAGCTGAAAAGGTCTCTCTCACAATGACCTTTTTATTCATAATGAAACTGTCAGCTAAGAGCACAATTCAATAATCATGCTAATAGCCCGACGTGCATGTTGACAGCATTTTCTATTCAGGGACTTCAAAGCACTTCTCAAACTGGAATTTAGCTGTGAAGCCGTGTCCGGACAATTGTTCCCATTTTATGGCTGGGACTATTGAGAGATCAAATGACTTGCTCAAGGCTTCACAGAGAACCGGTGGCAGGACTGGAAGTGGACTGATGATCCAGAGCTCTTGCCTCCCGGGACTGAGCCAGCAAGGCTTTGAGTTGGGCAAGAGAAGCCTGCAGGTTAGACAAGGCCTTGCTTGCAATGCTGGGCTGAGTCATCCGAGCTGATATCAGGCAGCAGAGAGTGAGAAGTGCGTTTTATTCCCTGCAGGGCTTGCTAGCAGGCGGCCAACCTTCCTAGTTGGCATCGCAGCTCTCCATGTCAGCACTGCTCAGGGGAAAAGTGCCTCTGCTGAATAGGAAGCTATTCATTTATCTGTTCCCCGCAGATGACCAAGGCTGCTGCGTTCCCTCTGTTGGCAATGGGCAAAGAGCTGGCCAAGATGGTAAATGGCTGTGCCGTTATCACCGCTTTCTTTCCCACTGATTCTCTTCCCTTGGTTTTTTCCCCTCCTTTTATTTTGCCCTTCTAGGCAGCTTCCCGAGCTCGGCTACCGTGGGTGAAACTCTCAGTTGCCTGGCCCTGTGCACAGGTCCCCTCCATCCGTGCAGTGGGTCTAAGACCCCGGGATACCAGAATAACAATGCTGATGCTTGCCTTGGGCAGGTGTGCACCCTAAACAGGGGGTGGGGGACGAATCGAGCCCATGAGGCCGGTGGGGTCCAGATGCATGTGCTGCTATTTCATTCCTCCCATTTTTACACAGCTGCACTGTGATCTCTGAAAATTTCTCGAGCATACAAGATTGCTGATTACACTGTTGGGTATTGCTCCCTGCTGACTAGATGATAGCGAATTAATTGGGTCTCTCAAAGGCCGGGGATTAGCAAGTGGGAAGGCAGGCTCCTTCTGTAAGAGGGAAATCGAGCTAGCTTGCATCTCTCTGATCATGCCTTTGGTTACTTCGAAGTGCCAGCATGCTACAGAGGGACATGCGTGCCCTGCTAGAGCAGCAAATGACACCCCTACCGCGGTTTCCAGAGGCAGAAGACCGAGATGAATGGAACGGAGAGGGTATGTCCACATGGTACAATTATAACACATGCTAGTATGCTTGTGCCAGCTTAATCTAGCAAGCAAGGGTAGCAATAAGAGGGAACACATGACAGCATGGGTGTTAGCGTGGACTGGAGCCCAGATTATGAACTCTCAATGGGTCCTGGGCATGTACGTGGGTTCATGCTCTGCCACTGTTACCCAAGCCAGCTGGATTGGAGCAGCACAGGTCTGCTACCACATGCCACACTTGCACTTTTGTGTAGACATGCACAGGTTGCAAAACCAGACGATGCTCACTTCAAAGCCATCGCCCCTGCTAGGCTTGAGACCTGCCTGTGCTAGGGACGGACAAACCAGCTTGCTCGAAATAAGAACTTCATAAATCATAAAGCCAGAATGAGCCATCATAATCATTTGTATGACCTCCTGTGAACCATGGGCCACCTAATAACTCCATCATCGATTTTTTTTTTTTTTTTTTTGGTTTTAT